TTAATCCTCATCCCCGTCCCCGCCCTGCCAAAACAATCCCCATCACTGACCCGATGGGGTCGGGGAAGTCAGGTCCACATCAGAGATGGGGAAAATTCCCATCCCTAGATACAGTGTCCATGGTATTGTTCTAATGGACTGATCAATTGATCTCTATTTAGATAATTTCTTATACAATTCTCTACAACTCCTCAATGTGAAGGAAATTCTAATAGTAAAGTTAACTTCTTTCAAGTTTCTTTAATATGTTTAGTTTTACCATATGTTTTACTAGAAATAAGGTAGCTGATTTAATATAAAATAAAAGGCTCATGTTATGCCCACCATTTCACAATTCATTTCTCTAAATTGGAGATCCAATTTATTTTCAACCTCCACTATGAAGCTAACTGATTGTGCTGAATTACCTTTTTTATGCATGGTGAATTACTTCACTCAGTGCTATAACCATTCTCTAATATATAATTTTCTTTCTGTGAATGATCATTTTATGTTTTTAATTTTTACTTAAAAATTAATTAATGGCATTTATTTTCCACATGCTTGAATTGTAGGAATCCATACTATATTTGATTATTTGGTCTATAATTAATTCATTTTCTTTTCTAAAATGAATGTATTAGGTTTTACTGATGTAAGAATTAGAAATTAGAGTTTTTCTATTTTATTTACATCAAAGAAATCGTCAGAGATCACAAAGAAAGAGAGAGAGAAGAAGGTTGATATGGAGATAGTAGTTCGATGGCTTTCTACATTCATCTGGATTGAATTCAAACCATCACACTATCAACCCTAATTATTTAATTTGATTAATCGATGTTTATTTAGTTATATGATTGTGAATCATAACTAAAAATTTTCATATCATAATCCTTCTAAATTGATGCATGCTTTGAACACCAAACCTTAGGCCGATTTGGCCTAGTTTTGGTCCAATTCATATGGGCTGAACCTATGGTTTAATGGGGACTAATAATAGCCCCTTAGATTGCTAATTAAGTGATCATCATTGGATCTTGACCTGGGGTTTGATGGGCCATTGCATGGACCAATTCGGCCCATGCTTGTAAAACCTATTTAGAGTTAGATTAAAGCAAGAATAGCTCATTTCAACATAGACAACATATGGACCAAACTACTTTTTGTAGTTGGGCTCATATGCCAAGATAAATATCATTAAATAATTGGGTTCATTGATGGCCTGATAATGTGTTAATTTAAGTGGATCTGGGTTTTACAAGTGTTATATTGATTTGGATCAATTATGTATGTAGTGTGCTATGTAAATGTGATTTGCTCATGGGTCATATGTGCTTGGCCCATGAATTGACCTATGTGGCTCTCTACGATCATCATGGATGAATACACATCATTTCCATGATGCCCATGGATCATTACATAATGTTATTTATAATGGGCCCTTCTCTTGTTTCCTCTCCAAAGAGGAACCCCGCAAGAACCCTAGCCTATGAAGGGCCCATTTGAATCTAATTTTATGAAAGTCAGTGGGAACCATTGTGGTATGACCTAAAACTAATTTAGGAACTGATTTTTGTTCCCTCATAGATAATATAAGTTTCATAAAATAGGGAATATCATGAGATGACATCTCTAAAGGCCTTACATCATTAGCATGAAAGCCGGCTGAATTGATGGACCGAGATGTACCATAAAATTGGGTTATCCGTTTCACTGAGACAGTTGGTAGGATTGCTTCATTGGATGATAGAGGCATCATATACTAGTGGGAGGGATCTATCCTAAAATGAAAAACTCTCTCATAGTACTATGGAGCCTATCGATATGACGGGTCAACACTTACCGATTGTAAAGGTTTAACCTAAAATGGCAATGCACCTTGTCTAATGAAAGCTAAAGGGAAAGCTCATGAAATGGGTGGATTCGATCATTCATAGAAAGTGATGGGATTATACTGCTAAAACAGTTGGCCCCATGCACCTGTCATTTCCTACATTTCCAGTGACATGAATAATGTCCTCATCATTGAGATAAAAAGGAAATCTTAGAGATGAACAAATTGATATAGAACATAAATAAAAGTCATTTCTATGGAAGATAATATGAAATAATAATAAGGTCGTTAACTAATTGACTTGTGCTTTTGTCAGAAATGGCACATGGATAATTCACAAAATTGTTAGATGACAACAAATTCAAATGACCTAATTATATAGATTGGTTTCGTAACCTTATTTGGTGCTCACGTCTGAGAAATTAGACAAAGTTGTCAAAAACCCAACACTAGAATGTCCCGATGATAGAGCCTCTAAAACAAGAAGAATGTAGTATTAGGAATGGGAAGAGAATAACTCTCTTGTTTGGTGTTAATCATAGCCTCACTGGACAATTCTATCCAGAGACAGTTCAACAAAATTGATATCTGCAAACATATTTTGGATAGTTTAAAAGCCATATATAAGGAGTAGAATCGTTCTGCATGACAGAAGGTCCTCAAACTATTGATGACCTCAAAGATGACTGAAACCCAACCAGTTCATGACCATGTCATGTGGATGATAAGTTATATCAATAAACTAGAGGCTCTTGGCTCCTAACTTGATGATGACACCAAAATTGATGTCATCTTAAACTCTCTACCCACATTCTTTAATTAGTTTGTCATGCCACGCACAGCCTGTGGCACAGCCCATATATTATATATTATTTATATAAATTATAATTATATAATAATATATAGTATATAATAAATTAATAAAATAAGTATTTTTTTATTTTATTATACTAATTTATTTAATTATTGTATATATAAGCAATTGTATACACATAATTCATATAAAATTAAAATTTTAAGTTTTTTGTCAATTTTTTTTTAAATAAATAGCTTTGGCTCAATGCACGCCCGGACCTGGCCCAAGGCTCGCCCCACGGGCCAGCCCAACCCACGCACGGGCCTAGGCCATGGGCCATGTCAGGCCGACCCCCAAATTTTCATTGGGGAGGGCAGCACGGCCCGCACTTTGCGTGGGCCGCCCACGAGCCGTGCCGTGCTGGCTTGGTGCCTTCGTGTTCATAGACTTTACCGTATTACCTACATCATTGTTTTTGAAACCAACTTCGAAGGCAAGTCTGAGATGATTGATTCTGGGTGATCTTGAAATACTGAACCGAACCAATGAGACTCAACTGAAAATTTCAATATAAAAAACTGACAATTAACTAAATGATCGGTATACATATATTTGTATTATACTTTCCAAGTCTGGAAATTTAAAGGCCAGTCGGAGCTAGAAATGATATCTCCAAAATTAGATGCCTTTTGCTTGACTCTTAAGTCTTAACAACTACATTTAGGCTGCATTGGTTTGGGAAAAGGTGAAAATTTTTCACTTTTCATTCTTTGGATGTAAAAGGGAAAATAGTGGAAAAATCGGCCCCAAGAAAAATTATTAATTAACCAAAATTTATTTTAATATTTTACTATTAATTATTATTTAGATATTATTAATTAATTAATATTAATAATTAGTTAATGAATTACTAACATTAAATAATATTTGTTTTTACTAGTTTCCATTTTCTATTGTTTTAACATTTTATTATTAATTGTTTGTCTTTAATTTATTTATTAATTAATTTAAATAATTTATTTTATTAATATTTTATTAAATAATTAATAGGTTATGGATCTAATATCAAATTTGTAGAGTACAAACACATTCAAAATAATACAAAATACAAGGTTTCTGGACATATTTGTATTTGTACTCCTTCCAAACTGAGCCACAAGAAAGGTGTCTTTTTGTTAATGTTAAACATGTTTCCCTTTCTTTCCCACTTGTTTCACACCAAAATGTCGTGATTTTACTTCCCAAGTTGAGAACTACAATCCCGCCTTCTTTTCATCACATCTCATGAGATCCCACAAATCAAACGTGAAAAGGGAAGAATATGCAGGACTATTCTTTTTTTTTTTTTTTTTTTTTGCCTTCCCATCCCACAAATCAATAATAGGATGTTTCAAAATTGAGAGAGAAAGGTATGCATCAGTAGGTAACAATGCATATCAATGTGTATGGGTTTTTATAGTTATTGGTTTATGAAAATTGAACATGGCTTGTAATGATTGTGGATTATAATGGTCAAGTATGGGTTTGTGATGGTTTGTACCAATTGAATATGGTTGTGACGGTAGAGCAGGTAGCAACAATTTGTACCAATTGAATAATATGTAGAGTGCAAACCTTATATTTTACATCATTTTGTATGTATTTGCACAGTACATATTTGCATTTATACTCTTCCCAAACTCGGACTTAATGGTTGATGATAGGTTTGTACCAGTTTGGATCAATCAAGTATCAGTTCGAAATGGTTGATTTGCATTAGTTCCAAAGAGATTTTGTAACGATTTGTACCTGTTGTGCGAGTTTCTAATTAATATAGATTTGTATAATGGTTTGTGATAGCTCAGTATCGGCTTATAACAACAATTGAGCATCAACTATCACGGATCAATACAAACAGATACAAGCACGATATACATCAATACATGGTGGATATATGCTTTTTTTTTTCGAATGAATATAAGAAAAGATGCATATCAATTGAATTTTCTTGTGTTCAAAGGAAATACAATTTTAAACCCAAATCCAAAATTAGTTATGATTCACAGTCAATAGTTAATAGTTGGTTCATGGTTTCAAGTTTCAACTTGCTCTGAGTTTTGAAATTGCCTTTCCAACCGTATTTGCGTTTCCCATACTTTTGAGCCATACAACCAGTCAAGCAATCCTACCGCGCGTCTTTTACCGACCAAAACAAAATAGCAACCCTACCAGCTACCGACAATTTTGAAGCAATTTCCCAATAGACTCTTTTAAGTCATGTAAATTTGACTAGACAACGAAGACACGCACACAGGGCCAGATAATAGGTTCTTCGGAAGTAGGCGTTGGTCGCGTCAAGGGGGATGGATGTCCAGGTAGGTAGAATTTCCATTGTCAAAGTGCATCATGGTGTTTGGTTCACAGGGGGGTTTCTGAAAGCAATTCCATGTAGAACTCCAGAAAGACATTCTGGGTCGTCATGGAAAATCCATCACCTACCTAACCTACACATAGAAAATCAATCCTTTCAAGCTTATATAATGTTACATTCTGTTGTGGTATTGAAACAAGGGTCACCATACCCATTGACGTTTCGGGATGACGGAAGAAACTTGTCGATCTGCTTTTACAAACAAACAAGAACAAAAAAATGAAGAAAATTGATAGTGGGTGATTGGTGGATGGGGGAGGCAAGCAAATCTTGCAGTTGATTCTTAAATCTTAATTTCTTACAGATTGGGCCTCCAGACTCGCTCCAGCATATCCGAGATTGTCAGATGAGGAATACTTGTAAATAGGGGGACTGCTACTGAGAACCAAATCACAATCCAAGGAAAGCACATTGCTTTCTTGCATGTTCTGGGACCAACTTCAACAACATCTCCACCGGCACTCCCTTCAGTTCTGAGTGATGGCAGTGGCAAGCATGTTAGACATGGAAATCAAAATAACATATCATCGATCTCAGATGTTTTCGCCCTCTTTTAGGGAATAATATCAGAAATCGTCTCATTTTTTCAATACTACTTAAAACATACCATTAGGTTTGAAGTTGAACAGCGGAGGCAGGAAACGACCATTTGGGAGGCGAGTATTTGGGTCCCGGAGCTCATCAAAAAACGGATGGACCAACGCCTCAAGCTGCATTATACATTCATCTGAACATGAATTTCACATGAAAGAAAGGAGAAAAATAGAAAAGTAGGAAAGAGAAACAAATAACTATCTCATACAAACTTGCAAACTGACAAATTTTAGTGAAATCGAGATTGTACCAGATCCAAGCAATTTTGTCCATGTATTGAACATGGAAGCCAGGTCCAGCATACAAAATCATGTTGTACATGGTTTCAGTATACCAAGTTCAACTAGTCAGTGTATTCACAAATTTCCATTCTGTGAAAAACGAAACACTAGACCATCAAATATATGGCTTATTCTCCTCTGATTACATCAAATTTTGACACGAGGATCCCTAAGCCAGGTATTTTATGGTAATCCAGTACCCAACCGTTCAGGGCCTGCTCTTCTAGGCCCCAACCGTAAGCCAGTTGACTCTAGACCATTAATGATGACTTTTCTTATCATTAATGCAACAATGACAATTCACAAGCTAATGTCAGAATTACCTATATTTATGTTCCTAACTTTAAAAATCACGGCATTAATTGGATCCAAGAACTCACCCGAAAGATCTTTAATATTTTAAATATAAATGAAACCATGCATCATAGAACAAGGACCAAACAACTATACTTGTGCAGCATAAAAGACCATTATTAATTTTTTTTTTTTATTGGATAGGGATTTAAAAGTGGTGTAACTCACAGCAGTGCATCGTAGGTTAGGAGAGTACTGCAGAAGTCTTGAGACAAGATCAACGGCCTCTGGGGGCATGCGTTTATGAAATATCTGAAAATAAAAAGGAAAGAAACAGAAATTAAGAAACTATTTATGGCAAGAAACAGAGGATGGGAACATAACCAATTCTTAGTACCTTGTGCCAAGGGTGTGCTTTAATTTGGGGGAATTTAAATTCTGTATAATTGGGATTCATGCATTTAATTTCTTCCCTTGTTGGGGTGCCCAAGATCTGCACAAAAATACATGTGATGGTAAAAATTAAACAGAAAAAAAAAATAAAATTATTATGCCAAAAAATAGAATAGGAGGCAAGAATTAACCAACTTCTCACCTTAATAATTTCAACAAGTTGGTCAACTCCACTCTCACCAGGAAAGAGAGGCTGAGAATAATACAATAGATATTAGCATGTTATCTGAGTGAGGTTTCCAAATTGCAAGGCATGGAGAAGGTTTCACAAATAAAAAAGCTGCCTACCTGTCCAAGAAGTAGCTCAGCCAAAACACAGCCTGCAGACCAAATGTCAATGGCGGTTGTGTATTCTGTCGCTCCAAATATAAGCTCAGGAGCTCTATAATATCTAGAGCAGATATAAGATATGTTTGGTTCCCCTTTTACCTGCCAACAAAGATAAGATCATCAGAGTCTTCAAAGACAAAGCAGCTAAGCAAGAAAACAGTAATACCAAAATGCAAAGACATACCAAAACTTTCGCACTTCCAAAGTCACAAAGTTTCAACTGGTGAGTATGTGGATTGACCTGTCATCAAAGAGGGAAATAATAATCATTTAAGAATGGCAGAAGACCAAGTGCTTCAAGCTCAAGAAATTGAAATGAGACAGGATACTAATTTGCAATTTGCTGAAATTTCACACACAAAATCAGAACTCATTCACAGAATAAAAAGTATATATTTTTGAACTATAAGAATGAGACATCTAGTTCAAGGACATACCAAAAGATTTTGAGGCTTGATGTCCCTATGGCAGACGCCAATGCTACCATGTATATAGGCCAATGCCCTACATATCTGCCACATGCAAACTCAAGATTAGAAATCCTGAGAAATAAGTTTTCACAACATAACATTTTTGCCAGGAAAAAAATAAGGTTATTACAAGAAAACTTACATATATCTCTTCTAAAACATAAAACCAAAACAGAGAATGCAAAAAGGAAACAATAGCAAGATTAACAACCGGAGGTATTGTAGCAAGACCATATTCCCCATGGGAATAAGGTACCACAACAAGGCAAAAATATGGACTGGAAACAATATACAAATAAAGTATAAAATGGGGAGGGTGGAGAACCATTATCAAAATAAATTTAATACCGAAACATATATCAGTCATATTCCTAATAATGCTATACATCACACTTAGAGGTAGCAAAAACAAACCTGGTACATATAAAGTTTCACATATATCAGTGGCATCCGCTGGTTCATCTTGTTGTAGTGTTTAATCACACGATGAACAGTCTCAGGGACATACTCGAGTACCAGGTTAAGATAAAGTTCTTCCTTCTCAGTTGTTGAGAAAAAACAGTGCTTCAGACACACGACATTTGGGTGGTCTAGAAGACGCATGGTTTGCAGCTCCCTGTTCTTGTACCTTTTGTCCTGAAGAACCTTTTTTATTGCTACAGTCTCTCCTGTCTCTAAGCATTTGGCCTGCATGGACACATCAAAGAAGCAATCATGAGTTAAAGCATAAAAATGATCATTATTCAACTAGAACATAGAACCAGAAGTGCACATCGCACAGTCATGGAAGGCCAGCACAACCATGTAAATCATTGCCAAACTTAACGACAGATAAATTTACCTGGAACACAACTCCAAATGAACCATGCCCAACAACACGTTCAGCCATATAGCTTATGGTCTGCACAATTAAGAGAAGATAAAACTTACAATTCAAAACCAAGTAATAATTATGAAAAGCTCAGAAGCAAGAATAGAGTAGATATTACTAATTAGAATTCGATAATAATTGCCAGTTTGTCACTATGCCAAGTTTACCTGCTTTGGCTGACCATTTCTACCACCAATAGTTGTCACAATTATATGACCTGTCTCGGTCCCATTTCCATCAACCACGGTTGCTTCCATTTCCTACAAAAGGTTAAACAAAAATGTCATAAGAAAATATAAAAGACATGAATATGGAAGTAGACTAGTAGAGTATGATAATATCCAACTAAAAGGAAAAAATGATCAATAAAAAGAAAAACTAACAAAGAAAAAAAGTAGAACCAATGACAATCCAAACATCATTTACCTTATCATCCCTAATTTTCATGTCATTCATCTCCTCAGGCAATCTATCAACCCCAACATTACTACCACTGGTTTCTCTCAATCCAGATGTAGGAACCACGCCAACCGAAGCCATTTTGTGAATATAGGAAATCACCTAGACCTAGTTCTGGATCCTTCAATACTTCACCTTCAACAGAATCCAATCAACCACCTACCATAAACAAAGTAGGAAAGAATAAAAAAAATGTACACCTTGATTTCCAAAATTTGACATTCTTTGCTCATCTTTCTGGTGTGACAAAGATAAAGGCAATATTTTATAGGAAAAACATGAAAAAATGACATGGAACTTTTTCAAGTCAAGTAAGATGATCATCAAGTGCACATTAGATGAATAATATATGGAACCAAACAACAGTATTCAAGTAAACACCAAAGACTTCCCTGCAACAGAATTCCGGAAACAAATCTTTAGAGGAAATGCCTCATTATTGACAGGTAAACAAAATTCATGGAAGGTTCCAAACAGTTATAATCCAATAGGATTGTTCATAATCTCAGTACCCTGAGACTGAAAACAGGCCATGGAATGATACAATAGTAAGATTCTTCCCATAAAACGTTATTCTTTTCGCCAATGGCCTCACATGATTCTAATTTAGGCTTGCTCAAGGGGAAAAAAAAACTCATATAGCAGACATAAAGGAATCAGTCCTCGCAACTTTGTTAGTAAGGTTCATAAAACACCAATCATTGTAAAACTAAATCAGCAGACTAAATATCCATATTAGAAGAAGCATTCCATATCAAATACTAGAAATATGCATATCCAAATCCTAAAAATGCTTTTAAGTGGTTCCGGAAGTGAGAACAAGAAAAGGGCTTCTTAACTTACAAACAAAAGACCCCAACATCTACGCATTTCTTGTTGGATGTAATTCAATAAAACTGAGGATATTTCCATCACAAGTTACAACCCTAGCTTAGGTTGAGAGCACCATCGTTTTAGCCTCAAACCCCAGTTACAAGACCAAAGAAACCCAATTTATATCACACCTTCGTCATCTCAAAAAACTGAGAACACAGGCTCAAAGACCTTAAGAAATCTGAAAGAAGAATTGATACGTGAAAAAGAGAAGGATAGATCTGTCATGCAAACAGAACCAGAGAACTTCGGAAAAAACAAAGAGAACAAAATCGAAAGAAACCCCTAAAAACCGTAATATTATCCAAATTGCTACAATAAATGTATCTAAATGGGCAAATAATTGGAGATCAACTTGCAAAAAACAAAAACATCTATAACCCAACTTCCTAAAATATCACAAAAACAAGGATCGCATAGAACCTCCCAAACACAGAGATCTACACCTTTAAACAAGCAAATGGAGCCTAATTATCATAATAAACATCCGATCCGAGTGCAGAATCTCACAAACATCAAGTCTAGAGCCAAAACATCCTAAAACATATAAATGAATACGAAACAACTGATCTTTCTAAAACAAGGAAGATTACCGATCAAAATTATACCGATCGGATCACGATTTTCCGGCGATAAATCTCTCGCCGGTCGTGGAATCGATGGGCTTCAACGCTAACATCATCTGTAGAACAGCGATTGATCGATCGATGCACCGTAATCTTCACCTTCCCTTTTCTTTTTTCTCTGCTCTGGGAGAGAGAGAGAGAGTAGTTTGGGTTTGTTCCTTTCTTGCTTGGGCAATGGGTCTTGGGTAGGGTGTTGTTGAACTGTTGATGACAGTCAAAGAAAAGCCCTAACATTTATGTGTTTTTTTAATCTCGTGAAGAGTCCTTCTTTTTTGACCGTTCAAACCTACCTTTAATTTCCCCTATTTTTTTAAAGATAAAAATATTCGAACCCGCGAATATTCGACCACGCCTTTTGTCGCTAGGAGACCGAGCCTCAAATTTTGATCGTATCGTTGCACTCGAATGCCAGAAATGTCCCTAAACATTACATGAACTGACGAATATGGCCTCATTCTTGGAGGGAATTTTCAGGCCCCTACTTGACCAAATCACCCACCCCATTTCCCATTTTCCGCTCAAACCGTCAAAACTCCTCCTAATTAATTAATTTCCCGATTACGATAGTCGACGTGCCCCTTTTTGCCGCTCAGGAGACTGGACTTCTGGTGAATATTATATCCATTTAATGAAAGTGTCCGAATGATTACAACTTGGGTAACCATTCTGTGCTACTCCATTCGAACACTGATCCGTGCTTTTCTCTTGATGCACCGTTGATCCTAAATTTCGACGGCCATTATCTCTTTCCTAAGACAACAGTCTGACCGCATCGGCCAATTCTTTAATGCCACGTGGTCATGTACTGGAGATCCCCTTCCACACAAATCAAGCTGAAGCTGCTTCATTGCTTCATAAAGCATTGACCAGAGCCTGACTCAAAAGCTGTGCAACTGAGTAAAGGTCGATATTGCCCTTCTTCAGCTTTTGTTAAGTAGACGGGAATGGTCGTATCCAATACTTTACTGTAATAATGGTCTACTAGTACCAAACAACCGCAGTTTTTTTTGAATAAATTGCTGAACTGAAAGTCGAAACCTCCCTGAAATTTGGTAATTGTGATATCTACCTTCTATTTTTCATACAGTTGCAATTTCACACCTCTCCTAGAATCCATTAAGTCTATAACAAGAGCTATGAAAATGTTCAAAATACTCATTCTTATTATTGAAGTTGATTTCTATAAAAAACAAGTAGTGGAGATTCGTGTGATCCACGGAGGGATTTGTTAAACATAAAAAATACAAAAATGTAAGAATATATAATTGTTTTATATAATAATTAATAATTATTTATATTTTCATATATTATTTTTTATAATTTTTTACAATATAAAAATAATAATAGTTAATTTTAGATAGGGTTGTTTATCAAATTTAAGGATGACGATTTTCTCTATTTCCTCGATCCTAGTATGTATCCGTCTTGAATGGGGCAGGGATGGGAATGATTTTCCCCCGTGGGGATAGAGATGGGGAAATTTTCATCTTCGTTGGTAGGGACAATGCAGGCCCCGTAGGGACCCCAATCCCCACCCCATGGGATCCCCGCTAAGGCACTAACAAGGTTCAAAGTATCGCTACGTATTGGCCAATACGTATCGTTCCGGGACCCTTCCGATATGCCCCTACAGTAGGTGTATAGGGGGTCTAACCGGTTCAGGGGATGGAGGGGTCCTAGACCGGCTCCCCTGAACCAGTTTTGAAAAAAAAATAAAAAAAAAGTAAAAAAACAAGTATCAAAATGCCCGATACGCCCCTACCGGCATATCGGGCATATCAATATTTTGAACCTTGGGCACTAATATATAAATATATATACGCATACGTTTATATGTATATTGTACATATATGTCTATATGTTAATATTTTTAAAAATATGGTTGAATATGTTCGAATCTTTTCTAATAGGATTGTAATTTTTAATTATTTTATTTTTATTTTTTAAAATAAATAAAAAACAATGGTTGAGATTATAAAGAATAGATTTAAATCCAATAAGTATTGAAAATTTTCAATTAAACATTAATTTTTGAAAATAATTTTCTATAATTATTAATTAGTGATGGAGGGTGATTTGGCCCGACCTCGTAGCACGGGTACACGTGGGCATGACCTTGCTCAAGTGATGACTCGGCGTGACAGCACAGCAAGTGCAACCGCAACTCAGTGGGAAGGGCTCACCGAGCTGGGTCTGGCAACTCTACGGGTTAGGCTATTCGCCGAGAGCCGCCTGGCTTGCGCCTCCTTCCCAAGGCTGAGGCATTCTGAGCTACCTCCGAGCTCGGGGCCCCCTGACCTTTTTTAATGCCCGAGCTCCTCCCAGTGGATTTTAGGTCACTCTCAAGCAGGAACACTACGATCCGCTTCTAGATATCCCCGAGGTAGAGACACCTCGAGCCAGACAGCTCGGTGTAGTTTGCCACAGGCAGCTCGCCACTTGCAGGGTAGCTCGCAGAAGAGCAGTTCGGCATATCACAGGAAGGCCTCTACCCGACCACCGTACCCGACAAACTTGGAGACGGCACCCACGTCTCTCGTCAGACAGTGTCGTGCCCGCCACCTTTAGAAGGTGTCTTACACCTGACAGGTACGTACCCTGCAAGGACGGCCCCGCACGTGCCACCTCAGCCCTGGCTGTAATGGCTGCGGCAGGATGACAGTGACGGTTATACCTGCCTTGTCAGAGGCATGTGGGCCTGATTCGACAGAGTTCTGTTATAAGCAGCCCAATCCCAAAGGACAGAGGTAACTTCCACATACTCGCGCTATCTGCACTCTTAGCCTTCTTCCTCTCTTCTTGCATCTTTCGCAGAACTCTAACTTAAGCATCGGAGTGTTCCCGCCAGGCAAGCCCCCGGGGATTCTTCATCTTCTCCATCTCAGGTACCTTTCAGGAGCCACGCAAGTGCCATCTAGGAGTGACCAAATTGCGCACCATCAATTAGTATAAATGAAATTAGTTATTTACAATATTATTTATTTATTGAAATAATATCATTATTTAAATTTTAAAATATTAATTACTTGTTCAATTTAATAATTCATAATATATATATATATATATATACACACACACATATATATACACACATATAGATAGATAGATAGATAGATAGATAGATAGATAGATAGATAGATAGATAGATAGATAGATAGATAGATAGATAGATATAGGTGGCCTCACCACCTCAACTTTCTTTGTAATAGCGTTACACCAATGGAGAACTCTCAGCCCTCTTCATTTTAGCCTTCCTTGCTCTCTCTTGAAGACATCTCACCACTCCCTTCTCCCTCTCTAATAAAGCCACCTCTTTGTACCTAGCCCACCACTTCACAATTCTAAGCAACATGACAAATTAGGAAAGCAGAGCCAACACGGCTTTGCTTTCTCCTATCATTTAATCCATTCACTAGTAAAGTCGTTAAAGATTGCAACCATCGTTTTATCAGAGAATTATGCTTCTTGGGGGTGGTGTTTGGATGAACTTCTGAAAATTTTAGAATCTAGAAAAAAAATGGAGCAATTAGGGCCATATTTGGTTCAATTCTCATTCTTTCTCATTCTTACCCAAGATGAAATTCTAAAATGGAAAACCATGGGTAAAAATAGGCAAAATGAAAAAATATTGCTATGAACCGAACACTTTTTTCCTAAAAATGAATTCTTATCAGACTGAAAAGTGTCCTATGTTGCTCATTTTCATTCTTAAAAAAAAAATCGTGCCATTATTCACAAACCGCCAGCCTAGGTCTCCAACAATCAATGTTTACCAATTGGCATAGACGTTTTGTAAAAGTGCTTTTACAAAAGTACTTTCACAAAAATGATTTTATAAAAGTAATTTTGTAAAAGTGCTTTCCTGAAAGTGATTTTGTACTTTTGTAAAAGTGCTTTCATAAAAGTACTTTCATAAAAGTGCTTTCGTAAAAGTACTTCCATAAAAGTACTTTCGTAAAAGTACTTTCATAAAAGTACTTTCGTAAAAATGTTTTCATAAAAGTGCTTTAGTAATGTACTTTTATAAAAGTGTTTCCGTAAAAGTACTTTCTTAAGTGTTTTTATAAAAGTAGTTTCATAAAAGTGTTTTCGTAAAAGTACTTCCATAAAAGTGCTTTAACAAAAGTACTTTAATAAAAATGCTTTTATAAAAGTACTTTCATAAAAATACTTCCATAAAAGTGCTTTCATAAAAGTACTTTTGTAAAAGTGCTTTCGCAAAAGTAAACATCTATGTCAACAATTTTATAGGCAGGGTTTCCTCAAAGAATGAAATGAGCAAGATGGGACATGATCATTTTTCATGATGTATGGTAATCAATTTTTGTGATATGGGGCTGACCTTTCATTTTAAAAAGAATGTGGCCCTTGGCAAGAATTTTGTAACCAAACATTTTAATGTTATTCATTCTTGTCCATTCTTACATAGAATGGGCAAAAATTAAGAGAATGAGGCCGAGAACAATGAACCAAACATGGCCTAGTTTTCCCTGCTTTCTATTAGTTGATCCATGAAATGTTTGCAAAAGGAATGGAAATTTTGGAGAAGCATTTAACAAAGTTTTATTAAAATGGGTAATTATTTCTTTAATAAAATGATTTATGCTTTCTTTTCTTTCTTTTTCTTTTCCATTTTGTTTTTATCACTTTGAAATCTGTAATATGATCTTCCTTGCAAAGAGAATAGAGAAAAGAAAAGAAAAGAAAAGAAAAGCAAATAACAAGGTTTCCTTTGCTTTCCCCAATTTTCGTGAAAAGTAAAAGAGGTGAAAGGGAAGATTTACCTTGATATTTGTCCTAATTCTTAACATATTTTCTGTCTTTTTTTTTTAAATTTTCCTTATCAGTTGCCTGTTAGATTTTAATCTCATTAGAGATTAAATCCAATGGATTTGATTGGTCAATTACATGAGAAATTACACATGCACACTTGTTTTGGAAAATAGCTTTTCTCTTACTAAAACCAGTTTTGAAGTTGTCCCACATTGGAAAATTACAAGATTTGTTTTGGGTTTTCTTAATAAGAGTTGATTTACACTCCTTAGAAATAGAGGAGGAGAGTATGGAGGCTTGCTACCGTGCAATGTGCGCGCATGCATGTGTGCAGCACAATGAGGTGCTTTAGAGGTGCTCTTTGCTCAGCTTGCAAAGGGCGGGTTTGGCTTTTTGGTGCAATTAATGCTAACCATTAATGTGATCAATGGCCACGATTTGATTGGGTGTGA